CCAATAAAAAGTACTTTTAAAAAAATTTAAGCTGTTTGGCCAAAACGGAAAAGTACTTTTGGCCAGCAGCAAAAGCAGTTTTTCTGCTTTTGGGAAAAAGCAAAAAATTCTAGCTTCTTCCAAGAAGCAGAAGCAGAAGTAAAAAATTAATTTATTTAAGATAAAATTATTCTCACCATAAATTTATATTTTTCAAATTGTCCTTGATTTAAGCCTTTTCTTTTCTTTTTTTGTTTTTAGTTTCTACCATTCTTTTAAAATTAGAGATATCATGAATCACGTGAATTATCAATGTATAGTAATTTGTGGAATAGACTTCTAATTTATATTGAATGATGTACTTTGATTAGTCAAATCATTATGTAAACAATAAGTAATTATATTAGAAAATATTATTGCTTTGCTATAAATATATAAGTTTTATTAATTTAAATCTTTAATATGTATGTTTACTTTATGTTTTATATTTTAATTAAATTAAATAAAAAATAATAAAAGTCTCTTACAATAAATAGTAAATTTATTTTTCTCTTTAAAATAATTATAATACCTTGATACTATCCTTTTTGGTAATTCGACACTCAAAAGCACTTTCTAGAAAGATTGACCAGACACAATTTGTTTAGCAAATGTTGCAAAAAATACTTCTTAAATGAATTGGCAAACTATTTTTTTTTCTAAAGTATTTTTTGAAAACAACATTTATGAAAAAAAAAGTATTTTTCAAAATTAACGCTTTTTGGTAGCTTGGCCAAATTGGCTCTAATTAGGCACGTAGCTCTTACGATTTTGGCTTAATCATCACATTCTCTTTGAATTGTCAAGTTTTGTTGTAACCCCATAACTAGAAAATTATATGCCTATAGCAAGGCAGGAAATTCTAAATAATATAGTAATTATATGCCATCAAAACAATGTGTTAATAGAATATAAGATAATACACTAAAAAAGAATGTGTGTTTCGTTAATATTCCATTTTATTAAGAGGTAGAATCAGAAACAGTTGATTCTTTCTTCTTTTCTTTTTCAAGGTATTTGCACATTGTTTGCCAAAATTTGATTGAACATTTAATAAAGGAGTACTTAATTGTAGGAAAGAAGGAGAAAATAAAAGAAAGAAGAAAAAATAAATTGAGAATTTGTTAAATTTATTTTATCTTGATTTAATTTAAAAATAATTATTATTATTCACCTATATCTTATATAACTGCGCGAAGCACGCCAGTTCACTAGTTAATTAAAATTGTAAAATCAGGCATTGCTCTTGCTACAACTTCAATATCATTCCATAGCAAAGAATTAAAAATACATTCATTTCTAGCTTTTCAAATCATCCATAGGATAGATACATATAATTGAATTAATTTAATAATGTCAAGAAATGGCTCAATACTTGCAAACAATTTAGCCCACAAATCTGAAAAATCAGAAATATATTGCAAATCGGGCCAACGGACTAGACTCAGTTTCTGCTAGGATATCGAAAACAATATGCGTTCAAGAGTTTAAGATTCCGATCCACAAA